GTAGCTGATATATTTGAGTATCTTTCTGAATAAAGAAATATCCCCCTCCCCCAATCTTGAGCAATAGTCTGATGAGATTATATCGAATAAAGCCTGCATTTTAGGGTCACTCAGTTTAAGAACAACATTTAAAAAGATTTGGCTTTGACAAGTAATGCCTATGAAGGCAGAAAATATTTAGTTTACTCCAAGTTCTCTCTAAGTCAATTATATGTTACAGTAGCCAAAATTCTTAAGGGTACCCTTGGGCTACATTAACATTGCAATAGGAAGTGTGGTCTGGTATCTCCTCTGTCATCTTCTTCTGTTTGGGATGGGATTAGGACATTAGCCCTCCCTTTCTTGGAAGGATAATTTAAGAAGCTAAGAGATTTTCTGAGAATTTAAGAGGATGGGTAAGCTACCTTCAAATAAGAGTGTGTGGAAGAGAAGTTAGAATACGGCCTGAGCTGCAGGGCAGACCCAGGGCCAGCAAGCAGTGTGGTGAGGCAATGTTTGTCTCCTTACAAAGCTGTCTGATGCTGCCATCTGCTGAGACTGCCTTACTTCACACTGGAAATATTCAAGGTGAAGCAATGTGATCATTTGGTAAGAAGGCTGGACAGTTAGAAAAGGGAGTGTCGTAAAACTAGGTTCTTCTGGGGCTGGGAAGATGGCTCAGTGGTAGAGCGCTTGCCTTGCATGCCTGAGGCCCTGGGTTCAATTCCTCAGCACCACATAAGCAAAAAAAAAAAAAAAAAAACTAGGTTCTGCTAGCTCTATCATAGGCTTATATTTTGTAAATCTGTACTGTCATCTCCCTGAAGTGTATTTCTTATTGGAAATGCCTCATTTCACATAGCTTTTTACAGCTTTTATTTTATTTTGGATGTTTTTAATACTCCACTCAAGTTTTTGTTGGTTTATTAGCCATAACTTTTATAGGTTTTTATGTTTGTTTTTTCAAGTTTTATGAGACACTATTTTATTATGTAGCTGGCCTCAAACTCAAAGTCCTCCTTCCTACCTCAGCTTCCCACCACATTTGGCTATAGAGGGCTTATTATCTTGTTTTCTGTTAATGGTTGCCTTAGGATTTATAATATATACCTTTAACATACCATAGCCTATCTTCAGGAAATATACTGCTTTAGTTATTATGAGGACCTTACAACTGTACCTGTTCTTTAGCTATTACTGCTAGATGTGGTTTTTTTTTGTTTTTTTTTTTTTTTTGTCCAGTCGTGGGGCCTGAACTCTGGGTCTGGGCGCTGTCCCTCAGCTCTTCAGCTCAAGGCTAGCACTCTACCACTTGAGCCACAGCACCACTTCCGGCTTTTTTCTTTTTGTTTATGTGGTGCTGAAGAATCGAACCAAGGGTCTCATGCATGCAAGGCAACCACTACCACTGAGCCACCTTCCCAGCCCTAGATGTGTTTTTTTTAAGTCAGTTTTCTTTAAAGATATTTTTTAAATATAATGATTAGGGGAATCTTGTATTTACTTACATTGCTATCACCAGTGTTCATTTTTCATTTGTACATACTTTATTTCACCTTTGATTTTGAAACATATTTCACTTAGAATAGAATTCCTTGATTATAGCTTTGGTTTCATTAGTTGTATGTTTTATTTTTAGTCATTTTTAACAGTGTTCTGCCACATTGTTTTGACTTTCATTATTTCTGTCCAGAAATGATGCCATTCTTTGACTCTTTTTCCATAATGTTTTCCTTCCTCTGGTTGCTTTTAAGATTTTCTCATTTTCACTGAATTTGATTACTCTGTACTTTGGTAGTCTTCCTGTTTCTTGTGCTAGGGAAGCTTTCAATATTTTAGCAGTTTTAAGTCAAATTTAGAATTCTTTCAATCATTATGTCTTTAGCTCTGCTTTGGGGATTTTAGATACTCCCAGGTGCAGCCCCCACCTCAGTGTTTCATTTTGAGGTAACTGTTATTCCTTTAACCCTTTCTACTGTAGTATCTCATCTACTGTAATTTTTATCTCACATTTTTTTTTTTCTTTGCTGGTCATGGGGCCTGAACTCTGAGCTTGGGTGCTGTCCCTCAGCGCTTCAGCTCAAGGCTAGCACTCTACCACTTGAGCCACAGTGCCACTTCCAGCATTTTCTGCTTATGTGGTGCTGAGGAATCGAACCCAGGGCCTCATACGTGCAAGGCAATCACTCTACCACTGAGCCACCTTCCCAGCCCTTCTTCATTATTTTAAGTCTTTCTATGTCTTCTAACTACTTAAAGTGCCTGATTTTTTCCTTGAATATAATGAAGATAGCTGTAGTGACTGCCTTAATGTTCTTGTATATTCTACCATCTGTGACATTTCCGGGGCTATTTTTCTTAGGTTGTCTTCTCATGTCCTTGAGGCTTGCACTTAAGCTTTGTTGGGTGAAGCCAGTGTAGAGTCTAGAGATAATTTTGTATGGCTGCTTATTTTTTTTTTAATCATCTGAGTGTTCTGCCCTATTCCTTGTAACTATGAAGTTTTCAGGTTGGTGAGCTAGGGAACAAGAGTCTCCTTCCAGCTCTGTGTGAGCTCGCTGATTTTGTCCCCTGGCCTTGGCACCTGTCCTCACGCACCTGTGCTCAGCAGTTCTCAGGTGACGTGCTCTCAGGTCACTGAGATCTCTCAGTGGCATCTGATGCACTCGTTCTGCACAGTGCACTGCCCAACCTTCTGGACTCCTTGGTTTCTGCTTTTCCCAGCCTTGCCTCAACTCAGGGAGACTGCCTGTTCTGTGGCTTCTCCTCCCGGTGCTGTGGCCTGTCAATAAGTGAGGACAACTAAATAAACTAGGGTTCTCCTGCATTCTCAAGGATCACTGTCCCTTGCTACTTATGTTTAGTGTTTGAAAGTCATCGTTTCATATGTCTTAGGATATTTGCTAGTCTTTTTCATAGGCAAAGGTAAATCTGACCCTGTATCTCCAATCTCTGTCAGGGCCAGAAATAAACCACTTTGTGGAGTTTATTTTATGTTGTTTTTGGTGCCAGTCTTAGGGCTTCAGCTTAGGGCCTGGGTACTTCCCTGAAGTTTTGTGCTCAAGGCTAATACTCAGCCATTTGAGTCACTATTACACTTCTTGCTTTTTGGTATTTAATTGGAGATAAGCATCTCAAGGGTTTCCTACCCAGGTTTGTTTTGATCTGTGATCCTCAGATCTCAGCCTCCTAAGTAGCTAGGATGACAGGTATGAGTCACCAGTGCCTGGCTCTTTAGTCACCTTTTGCCCCTAACACTTAGTGTCACATTTGGAACATGTATTAGCTTTATTTTGGGTTTTCTCTGCAGTGCCAGAGGATTCTCCATACCTTTTCTCTGATAGACTACATTCATTAGATTTTTGTCACTGTGCAAGATAAACTACTTAAAGAAGGAAAGGGGTTTTCTTGGCTCAATTTCTGAGGTTTCAGACCATGGCTCCAAGACTCTTAAGGCTATGGCAGTGTAGAAACATGATGGTGGAAGGACAGGCTGGAGGAAAGCTGCTCCTCTCCTGGCAGTCAGAAAACAGAGAGAGAGGGGGCCAGGAAGGCGCTGAGGACTATCTGTATCCCTCAAAGTCACAGCCCCAGTGGCCTTACTTCTACAAGTAGGCCCTGCTTCTGCTCCCACTGATGCCGTCAGATGATGATGATGATGATTTATTTTTTCTTGGTCATTAATTTTTTTAAATCTTCAAATACTTGTACAAAGGGATTATCATTGTCTGTTTATTTGTCCACTACATCTTGATCAGTTACTCCTTCCATCATTCTTCTGCATCCCTTTTACTCTTCCCTCCGTCTCATCAGGTTTCCTTTTTCAGTATGTACACTGAGTATTACGACTGTATTTATCCTCCTGTTTCCTGACAGCAACTCCACCTCTCTTCAATATTGTTCTGCTTCCTGAGACTCATTTTGTTATACTGCTAATTGTTCAGCTCCCTCCATGGAGTTTTACTCCTGCATATACTATACTTTAGTCAGCTTAATTGTGTGTATAAGCATGTGCCCCTGTGTGTGTTTACATGGGATGTTGTGTGGAGAGAAAAAAATGTGCTCTTTGTCTTTCTGGGCTTGGCTTACTTCACTCAGTATGATTTTATTTCCCAGATTCATTATCTATTTCCCCGAAAATGACATAATTTCATTCTTCCTAAATGCCCTCAGATTTTGAGTCTACTAATGAATTAATCTATTGATGGGATTAGAGCCATCCAATCACTTCCTAAACATCCATCAACTGGCCATTGGGCCTTGAGCACATGAACGTTTTTGGAGATAGTTCAGCCAGCCATAACCCAGATCTGCACTTCTCTCTCCTCATCCCTAACTCCTGTTCCTGATGCTTGCCAGAGTCTCTTTTTTTCTCCTGGTCAGCTCTGGTGTCTTTTCCCTGCTGTTCCTGCCCCCCTTTTAAAGGAGGAACTGAAGCTTTCCTTTTCTCCCTATTATGTTTCTGTCATACCTAAAACAGGGTTTTTTGTTTTGTTTTGTTTGTTTTTGTTGGTTCTGGGGCTTGAACTCTGGGCCTGGGCGCTGTCCTCAGCTCTTCAGCTTAAGGCGAGCACTGTACCACGTGAACCACAATGCTATTTCTGGTTTTCTGGTGTTTATTGGAGATAAGAGTCTCATGGACTTTTCTGCCTGGGCTGGCTTTGAACCATGATCCTCAGATCTCAGCCTTCTGAGTAGCTAGGGTTACAGGAGTGAGCCACCAGCACCTGGCTGAACCAGGTTTTTAGTGTTGAATTGTATATCACATTCTGGCCTTCCTGTGGAGTGTGCATGCTTTTGTTGTTGCCATCTATCCATGTCTGTCTGTCTGTCTGTCTGTCACACACACACACACACACACACACACACACACACACCAATAGTGTTCAGCTCTGAGAGGCAGAGGTGGAACATTGTACATAGGTCTGAGGGAAGATGATATGGAGACAAGGCATACAATAATATATGTCTGTTAAAATGAATTATTTTTCTCCTCTTCCCCAACCTTTCCTACAAATCAGGCCACGGAAGAAGTTTCCAAAAATCTGGTTGCCATGAAAGAAATTCTCTATGGCACAAACGAGAAGGAGCCACAGACAGAAGCAGTAGCTCAACTTGCTCAAGAATTATACAATAGTGGGCTTCTTAGCACCCTGATAGCTGATTTACAGCTCATTGACTTTGAGGTAAGAAATCAATTTCTTAATTTTCAAAAACAGTACATGGTACTTTTCTATATATTCTCTCAGAAAATCTTAAGATTCCTGTTGGCTCAGGGCTTCCTGACCTCTAAGCTTAGGCCGTCTACTTCATTGGCGTAACCAGGGCAGATATTCACGAGTGTCTCAAGCCTAACCAGGGTTTTCCCTCTCTTTCCTCACATTGAATGTAGAGTTCTTAAGATGTTCACTGTGGCCTTTCAGTTAGGCTCCATTTCCTCAGTACTTGCTCTTTGGAGTGAGATCACATCATTTACTAATGTCTTCTGCTCTTCAAGTATAAGCAGTTTAAAGATGATAGAATATTAGAATTTTAGAGCTAGAAATCTGAGAGAAAGTCCATTACAACAGAGATCATATGTGTTTTTACTTGGCACTGCTTTCAAACTTTAAATTAGGGTAATGTTTAGTAGATTTTACTCATAAGTCTGGATTTCTGTCTTCTTGGAAAATTTGACTCTGGTATTGTTAGGCCTCTTAACTAGAATAGAACTATAACCCAGAGCATTCACACTTGGGTTTTTCTGTGGGCAGCTTGCCTGCTCTTTATGTCTGGGTCCACTTATTTGCATCTCTTGCCCAGACCTGGTAGGCATTTGAGTGAGTTAACCAGCTTACATAGCTGGATTATGCCATGTTGGATATTCAGTGAATTTAGCAGTCCTCAATACCAGTTTGGATAAAGAAATATGCATGGTAATAAAGCCCTCTGGCAGCTTCCTCATCTCAGAAAGTTTCCTCCAGTTGTCACAAGTGTGCCTTGTTATCAACCTCAGTGATTAGATGTCTCTGCAGGTGCTTAAAAGATAGATGTGCGTCCCATGGGGAAACATGACAGGCACTCAAATGGAGAGGATGGAGGAGAGGGTGTGGTTTATAGTTTGCTTGAATAATACTGACAGTAAAATAAAATAGAAATTTACATTTGTCCTACTGAAGAGCAGATAGAACAAAGATACTTCTGTGTATATAGCTGATCTCATGTATTTTTAATAGTTTATCCAATTCTAGCAACAATTTCTATTTTCTCTGATAAGAGCCTGTCCTTGGTCTACATCCACCTGTCTCACCCCCTAAGCTGAACTCCGAATTTATTGTTCATTTGGCATCAGAAACGTCAATTTAAAGAAGAATGTATGTGCCCTTGACACTGTTTCATAGTGATACCATTACTGTATTTGAGTTAACATGGGCCCCAGAATGATCTCTCTGTTGTTTTAGGTTGAGTGCTGAAAAGCTTCCTTTTCACAGACTTTTTTATGGGTTTGTCACTAGCCTAGGCACTGGTGGCTCACACCTGTTATCCTAGCTATTCAGGAGGCGGAGATCTGAGGATCAATTTGAAGCTACCCCAGGCAGGAAAGTCCATAAGACTCTTATCTTCAGTTATCCACCAAAAAGCAGGAGTTGAGGTATGGCTCAAGTGGTAAAGCACTAGCCTTAAGCAAAAAAGCTAAGGGACAGGGCAAGCCCTGAGCTCAAGTCCCAATACTAGCACAAAAATTGGGGGCAGGGGGGAAGGGTGCATTCTGAATCATCACTTGGGATCTGGTTGTCCACTTGTTAATTTCTTACTCAGTTTTCCGATTGCAAAGCTCTCTAAATGGTATCTGTCTGATACAGAGGTATTAGAAAGTTCTTGTCTACTGCATCATGTGATACTCCAGTGCCTTTGTTTATTAATCTATTTCAACTTTTCTTAAGTGACTTAGTTTAAGAGGGAGATTTGCCTGCTTGCCATTAAAGCTCTATTTCTTACGGAATTTTCTCACTTTGTTATGGCAGAGTACAATGTGTATCCCCCACTTCCATCACCCTGAAAAAAAGCTTACGTATCATTCATAGTATGAACATCCCATGTGATGCTGTAGATTCCACACGGTGGGACTCACATCTATGTAGATTGTAAGCATAGAGCAACATTTGGTTTTCATATCGGGGTCAGCATGATTCTGAGAGTTAGAAATGGTTGAAATTACTCGTGGGATATAGTAAGATTTTACTTTGTCTACACTTTGTGCTAAAAATAGGACACTTTAAAACTTTGGAATTATAAATTAGAATGTAAATGTCTACGAATGTTGTAAAGACAATATTCAATTTTAACTATAAGTATACGATGGCTGTCTTGGACTTTATTTTGGAGGGTGGTTGGGCATTTTCATGTTTAGTCAGGTAAATATTTTAATGATTGTATTCCTAATAGGGCAAAAAAGACGTGGCTCAAATTTTCAACAATATTCTCAGAAGACAAATTGGTACAAGAACTCCTACTGTTGAATACATCTGCACCCAACAGAATATTTTGTTCATGTTATTGAAAGGGTATGTACAATGTAATAAAATTTGTGTTCTTAGTTGAAAACAAAAAGGAAAGATTGCCTTGGGTAAAAACAGGATGGTGAAGGTGGGAGGCATTTTCTCTGTGATGTAGTGACATCCTTTTTCCATAGATCACGAATGCATTTCTCTCCTTAAAGTTCAACCTACGGGCGGGCTACATTAAGGTTAAAATGCCCTAAGTTTAAAATTTGGTGAATTGTGCGCCTTTAAATTCACAAATCAAATATAGCTAAAGGAAAGGAAAAGGTCTTTCAAGGCCTGTTTCTTGTTTTCTAGGATTCAAAAGGTTGAGTTTTATCAGAATATTTATTTTAAGACATCTTCTTTGTACCTTGTCTGCACTCTGTAAGCAAAAACCTCCTATAAACCTCCTATTGTAGATGGCTCGCATCTATAATCCTAGCTGGTCAGGAGGCTGAGATCTGAGGATCATGATTTGAACAAAGCACAGGCAGACAAATCCAAGATTCTTACACCCAGTCCTCCACCAAAAACCTAGACGTGGAGCTTTGTTTCAAATTAGTGCCAGTGTTGAGCAAAGAAAGCTCAGGTTCTTAAGTTCAAGTTTCATTACTGGTGCATGCCCGTGCACACACACACAGACAGCACCTGTAGTTGTGCACAGCTTCATTTCAATCAGTATGGTTATGTGTGAGTTTCTCCTGTATGAGCTGTCACTAGCCCACTTAGTTTTGCCGTTCATACTGAGTCTCCTCAGAATTGCTACTGGACTAGTCAGGCATTTGTGACTGGGTAGTCTGTCTACTTTAAAAAAAAACAAAACCTAAGACCAGAAACTTAACTATAGAAAACAAGCCCTCTCCCTCCTCACTAAGCCTCCCTGACCGTTCACCTCTTGTTGGTCTCCGCCAGTTGTCTGCCAGCTGTGGCTATGCTGTGCTTCTGTCTGTCCAGACATTGGCAGTGTTGTATTAAATAACTGGTGGGCAAGTATGTTACTGGCATGAATGGTGGCGTGAATCAGCTTGCTCCCCCAACCCTGGCTTTGCAGCTTGCCTCATTCTGATTCCTATCTCTGTGGTTTAATAACACTTCCCCCAAGTTCAAACTTGTTTAGACAAAGCATGAGTCAGTGAGTGTGCATGCCAGTGTGCATGCCAGCATTCGGTTTCCTTCTTTCTTCTACTCACCATCCAATCAGTGCTCCTTCAGATGGGGCCAGACAGAATTTGGGGCATCTGATTTTTTGTTTCCTCAATTCAGTGTTGGTGTGTAAACCTGCAGTGAGCATGAAATTTTGGTGGCCATACACTAGCTTCCAGCTTTGGTTTTTGGTTTGGGCAGTTCTGGGGTTTGAACTCAAGGTCTTGTGCTTGGTAGAAAAATGCTCTACTGGTGAGCCATGCTTCCAGCCTTTATTTGCCCTAGTTATTTATAAAATAGGGTCTTCCTGCTTGGGCCACATCCCACCTATTTTAGGCCCTCCGGTCATAGCTAGAATAACAGGTTTGTGCCTCATTAAGTTTTCTGCCCTGACCACAAACTCTGATCCTCCCAGTCTTCCAAGTAGGTCAGATTACAAGTATAAGCCACAGCTTCTAGCCTCTTTATGTATTTTTTAAGCCATTATTTTTCCTTTGCATAGAAACTAATGATTTATATTAAAATATATAAATTAGGGGCTGGGAAGGTGGCTTAGTGGTAGAGTGCTTACCTTGCATGCATGAGGCCCCGGGTTCGATTCTTCAGCACCACATAAGCAGAAAAAGCTGGAAGTGGCACTGTGGCTCAAGTGGTAGAGTACTAGCCTTGAGCTGAAGAGCTGAGGGACAGCGCCCAGGCCCAGAGTTCAGGCCCCACGACTGGGGCGGGGAGATACATATATATACATACGTATATACATATATATATATACATACATACATCTATATACATATACACACATCATACATACATATATATATATATATATATATATATTAGTTAACCCTTCCTATGATTTCACTTTACCATAGACCAAGCTTTGGTATAAATACTGTTAGGATTTTGAGATAGAGTTTAAACTTTAAACCTTACATTTGCTGGCCAGAGCTGCAGCCTCATCCAGATAGAGGATGAAAAGCATGAAGAATAGAGCCAGGCTTAGACCTCACCCCTGCCTTCCACCTCTCAGCGTCACCATGGTCACTGTTGTGCAGCTGCAGGGAGGAACACAACAAACCCTTCCCTGCCCACAACCCCCATTCATTAGTATACTGCCACTTGTGCTCGTTCTAGTTAATTCCTTCATTTCCTCCTCACAGAGGACTTGATTTCAAAGTGCATCCCTAATCCAGAATGTACAGCACAGTGCCTCAGACAGAGCAGTGTCACATAGTCACCTAACAGTATCTAACACCTAGTCCATGTCATATTTCCATGACTTTCACTAAAACAATATGTAAATCAGATACTAAACAAGATCTACAAACGGAGTTTGATTGATACAGCTTTGGCTCTCTGCTAGTCTGTAATAGTTGCTGCATCCCTTACCCTTTTAGCCTATGCCATCTGTTGAAGCAACTGAATCATTTGTTTAATAGAAAAATTACATAGTTCAGCCAGGTGTGGTAGCACACACCTATACTCTCAGGAAGCAGTGGCAGGAAGACCACAAGTTCCAGGCCAGCGTAGGCAGCATGGTGAGACAGTCTTAAAACACCAAGGGGTAGGGATATAGCTCAGTGATAGAGTCTTCGCATAATGCCCAGGGTTCAACACACAGAACAGCAACCAAAGAAATAAAACAGAAAGCCTGCAATTTGGACTTAGATTCCTATGGTTTCATTCAACATTTTTCGCTAGCCCCTATTCTTGAAGTTGGTGGTTAGACACAGATTCGCCTAGAGAGGGTGCCAGTGTGCTTCCTTCTGGGCGACACTGGTTGTCCCACTTGGTAAAATTTAGATTGCCCATTGTATACAGATGTCATTAGACTGTAATCTGTTCATATGACCTTCTCTTATCCACCTAATGCTTTTAATATCCACTGAGGATCTTTGTCTACTTCAAAATGGCAGTTGGCTACCATTACTATTCTATTACTTCTTCTATAATTAAATATGTTTCTTCTGTAAAGAACTTCTTTTAATTTTTTTTTTTTTTTTGGGTCCGGTCGTGGGGCCTGAACTCTGGGCCTGGGCGCTGTCCCTCAGCTCTTCAGCTCAAGGCTAGTGCTCTACCACTTGAGCCACAGCGCCACTTCCGGCTTTTTTTCTTTTTGCTTATGTGGTGCTGGGGAATCGAACCCAGGGCCTCAGGCATGCAAGGCAAGCACTCTACCACTGAGCCATCTTCCCAGCCCCAATAGTATGATTTATTTTTGAGTTTGTAGACTATTTTTCTTTTTCTTTTTTCTTTTTTTTTGGTCAATTGTGGGGCTTGAACTCTGAGCCTGGGCGCTGTCCCTCAGCTCATCAGCTCAAGGCTAGTGCTCTACTGCTTGAGCCACAGCACCACTTCTTATTGATGACTTAGCCCCAAAATACAATTTGTATGGGAAAGATTGATGTCCTTGTTTCAGTTGTATTAGTTGATATCCTAACTACTTCCTTAGTAATCATTGAGTATGTATGCCATTGAAATATTGAAACATTGTTACTAAATAACTTTTGTTATTTAAAAAATATACTGAATCGAGGCGCTGGTGGCTCACACCTGTAATCCTAGTTACTCAGGAGGCTGAGATCTGGTTCAGTCAGGATGGGCAGAAAGTCCATGAGACACTTATCTCCAGTTAACCAGCAAAAAGGTAGAAGTGGTGGTATGGCTCAAGTAGTAGAACACCAGCCTTGAAGCTAAACAAAAAAAAAAAAAGCTTAAAAAAAGTTCAAGGCCCTGAGTTCAAACCTTAGTATTGACACAGGGAAAAATATATATATACACATACTAGATGTGTTTCAGGCATTGCTGTTTTATGCCCACATTGTCCCAATTTAGGCTGTTGAAAATTCCTTCAGGTTGCCTCCTGTATTCTTTTTGGCAAAGCCTCATCAGTCTGTGATAGCTTCCTTGCTTTCTGGCACAGATGATCACTTAACTCATTTGTATGGTTTCTGTCAGATCTGTAAATAGCCATTTCTTTAAGGATTCCTCTGAACTGCCTTTTAAGATGATGTACAATTTTGATTGCCTTCTTAGGCTATAAGACCCTCTTTGGTGTTAGATATTTTGGTGCTTATAGCAATGTTTATTTGAGGTCTTACTGCTAGCATTGTACTGCATTTAGAGAAAAGTGGGTGGGTTTTTTTTCCCCGGCAATTTAAATGTTAATGTGCTTTCTGGTCTAGCACTAGCAGGTTGTGTGGCATAACTGTTTGCCTTGTACTTATTGGCTTATGGTTTAATCATTTAGACAGACTTGACAAACTGCCACCAAAACCTGCCCAACTTGTTGTACTAAACTATCTTACCCTTGTCCCTGCTCATTAAAGATAAGCAAAGATGAATGAGATGAGCAAACATTTTGTGAACAGATATTTTAATCACGTTTAATAAGAGCCAGTCGGCATGCTAACTGCCAGTGGACATAGTTTCACCCTTGTAGAGGATCTGTGGTGATTATAGATAGGACAAAAGGGTAAGATAGTTTGATAATTAGTGCTACACAATTTCAGAGGATAAATGTGGGCTTGAGTTAGAAGGCCAGAGTTGGTTAAAAAAAAGAAAAAGAAAAAGAAAAAAAAGGCGGGGGGAGGATGGTGAGGGGGGGTGAAGACTTAAACTCAGAGTTACAGAGGATTTAGAATTTGTGTAAGCTGGAAGGAAAGGAAGTATTTTAATGGCATGTGACTGGGAACAGAGATCCAAGGGCAAGCGTGGACACCACGTGATTGCAGCAAAATGTGAACGCTTTATAGAACGGTATGAGATGACGTTGTACTAGAGTAGTATGTATACCTAGTAAAGGGAAGACTGGAGATCAGGCCCAGAAGTCTGTTTATTTGGCTGGCAGGAAATGATAAGTTCTGGTGAGTATGTGTGTTAGGTTGACTGGCTAAGACAGAATTTGAGCAAAGACACTGGTTAGGAAGATTCGCAGTCCTTGTGAACAAGGTTTGAGTTAATGCAGCAGTGGGGCTGGAAGAGAAGGAAATGAAACTAAGATACTTCAAAGAAATGTAGAAGAGGCCTGGTGACGCTGCAGACAGAAGAATGGAGTGAAGAAGGGAAGGTTTAGAACTATGCTGTCCCATAAAGTTGCAACAATATCTAGTGACTTTATTAAATAACATTGACAGTTCAGCCCTTCGGTCTCGCTAGCCAGAATTCCAGCACTCAGTAGCCTCATGTTCCTACTGACTACCAAAGTGAATATCAAAGGTGCAGGGCATTGCTACTGTCACAGAAAGTTCTGTCAGACCAGGTTTAGACCTCAGTATCTGAAACACAGTCATGATGCCAACTCGCAGAAATGAGGATGCCGGGAATCTGGGGCTTACTTTGTGGAGGATTGAAATTTCATGTTAGACTTGATGACCTCTAACTGAAGATGTCCACAGACAGCAGAAAAAGCCCACCTACAGTCAGGAGTAGACTGGACAAAGGGAAATTTGGAAGTCCTGGTGGGAATCTTAAGTCATAGGGTCTTTCCATAGCAGGTTAGAGGCATCCATAAAGACCTTAACAAGGCAAGTAATAGGAACCACAGGAGGGACAGAAAGGATAACCGGGAGACATTTTTACTTCTCTTAATAGGGATGTGCAACGGGAGCTGGAGGCATAGCTCAAGCCATAGAGTACATGCCTAACAAGTATAAATCCTGAGTTAAAATCCCAGTACCAGAATGAGGAATGGGGCATAGGTGCAGGGCTGGGAATGTGGCTCAATGGCAGAATGCTTGTCTAGCATTCATGAGGCCTGGACTCAGTACTCATCCCTGGGAGGGCAAAGAAGGAGGGGGACACATTTGCCCTGTTGGAACACAAAGTAGAAGGATCTTTGTTATGAGAAAAGATCACTTGTCTTAGCTAAGAGGAAGTCTTTGCTGGCCACATAGCTATTTCACTAGAGTATGGGGAAATGGAATTTGATTGCAAGAGACTACAGGAATGAGTTGGGAAAGGAATTAAGGCAACATGTGCAGCATGAAAGAAAGTGAGTTGAAAGCAAGCGACCTGTGTGAGCAGCGGCTGAGTTCAGTGAGAAGACTTGGTGCACAACAGAAGAGAGACCCCGCTTCATGGAGGTTGTCGCTCTGATCTCAGGGAAGAAGAGCTGAGAAGCCAAGCTGGCAGCATAGGGAGGTTGCATTGCAGAGCTGGCGAGGAGCTGGGGGCCAGTGTTCCCTGGATTCCCCACGATGGAGGTGCTTTGTGAAGCCCCCAGGACAAGACTTTCAATTTCACTGTCAGTTTGCCAAGAGCCTTGAAGAACTGTTTGGATATTGACTTGAAATAACAAAGTATAAATTGGATATACCTAATTTTTGATAAACCGATTGTTATAATGAATGCCTGAGTTGGAAGAATGTTGTAGCTTGAGCAACGAACTTCATTTCACACAGGCACTCTTGTGGCTGCTTTTCCTGGTTGAAGGCACCACCCACACCCACTGTGTGCAGTCTCTAAAGAAAGTTCCTTTGAGCCCAGACTGTACTCAGAGAAACAACTTTTGTAACCTTACATTGTGTGGTCACTTGGTTTAGGCACATCTGAAACTCCTGTGGAAAAAGTTTGAAACATTCACCTGTAGAGTTTCTGAGAAAGCAATCATGTTTGGCATTTTTGTTTTTGTTTTGTTTTTACAGGTATGAGTCTCCAGAAATAGCTCTAAATTGTGGAATAATGTTAAGAGAATGCATCAGACATGAACCACTTGCGAAAATCATTTTGTGGTCGGAACAGTTTTATGATTTCTTCAGATATGTGGAAATGTCGACATTTGACATAGCTTCAGATGCATTTGCTACATTCAAGGTAACATAGAGACTAGAATTATAAATGTATTGCAAGTCAGAGCAACCAGTGTGAGGTTTCCTAATCTCCTATGTCTTCCTAGACACAACTGCCCTCTAGTGGGAAGAAAGAAGCTGTCTTTCATATGTGTTGGTATGATTAGGTATTTTTAGTGACACTACAGCTTTAAAAATATGGAAAAATTAGATTGTAAAGTCTGTCCAAAAAAGAGAAAGAGTCCTGAATGGGTAAAGTTAGAGTTTTCTGTTAAACTACCTGCTAAGTACTGTGTATAGGTACACAGTCACCTGACAACCAGATTTTTTTTTTCATGTCGGGATTGGGTAGCAGATTTTTTTTGTTTAGGAGCCATGTTAATCTGGAATATACATGTCATTAAATACCAGAAGCGTATTTATGACATAGATAGCCACAGTGTTGACAGGCCAGGGGAGCCCCCATCCCGCCCTGCCTGAACGAGTGCCCCACCCCCTACCCCCCTTATATACAACCTGAAATGGCCACTTTTATTGCAAGAGTTCATTGTTATGGTTATACAGAGCCCATAAAATAGTAAGTTTGGGCTCTGGTAAAAAAATATACATACACATATATGTGTGTGTGTGTGTATATATATATATACACACACACACACATATACACATATATACATACCGTAGGACTGAACACTGAGATTAAGATGAAGGATTAGAGACTGCTCATCAGGGTTTCATCTTGAATGAGAGTAAGGTCATAATGTAAGGGCTGCCGGGGATATGTTCTCCAAAACCATTAAAAGAAGATGTCAGAAGCCTTAGGTAAGACCTCAGACACTTACTTATAGATGTCAATGTGCAAAGCAAAGTGAAATGAATTTGAGATTATAACCTAGAGTGCTCACTGTGATGTCTTAGACCCCTGCAGTGTTGGGCTAGGACTGATGATTAGAATGCATTGGTGGAAGGGAGTGCCCCATTTGGGAGCAGCAGCCCAGCATGAGGGAGGTGTAGTGTGGTGCCTTGTGTCAAGGAGAAAGTGCCCTGTGTGGAAGAACAGCCAGGATCCCGAGAGTGGCAGCACGCTGGATGATGAGGGTGAGGGAAGAGGATTGAGGAGCAGCAGTGGTGTGGGAGCATGCAGCCAGACCCCTGGCCCTGTGGAGGACATGGATGGCATGCTCTTGGCACTGATGCTCTCATTGGCTCCAAGGTGAGAGAAATGTGCTGGCTACATGCCGGAAATGTAATATCTGACAGTCTTGACTGGTTTTGCTGATCTTTTCTTCTCAAGTGGGATAACTTCTTTCAGTTCTTTCTCACCAAGGAGAACATGATGAATTCACTGTGGGTTACACAGTCCTGGCAAATCTTTGTGGCCAGAGAGTAAAGGACTGGGTAGAGCCAGGCAGATGGTCCAAGGAAGCTCTGGAAGAGAGCTGGGGAGGCTGACCTGGCTTCTGTATCTCAGGTGCTTCTCTGATCGTGAAGACGGCAAGAGCTCGTGAGAGGCCCTTGATCAGAGACCTCCCCAAGAAACAGAATGCAAGACAGTGTGTAAGAGGAGGCACAGGCCTACCACCTAACCTCAGGTGCCTAAATACCAGACAGAGCTCCCTCCCCACCAATAAGCTAATTGCAGGGAGAATTCCCAGCAGGCTCAGACATAGTGAAGAGGGAAGGGAGAGCCAGTCCTCCTGCCTTGCTGGTGCTTTTCTAATGAAACAGGAGAACAAATCTGTCCCATATTCTCCTCTGAGAATGGGCAAGAACTGCCCGGCCCCCCCACTCCCCGACTTGAATGGGTGATACTGGAGTAGTAAACCAGACAGTCAAAAACTTGCTAAGGAATCCTGGTTTTCTTTTGAAGAATTAGAAAATGGAGAAGTTTTCCAAAATAAAGGATGATAGATTTCCCCAGAAAGGCTGGTCGAATTTGGAGCGTGATGTTATACCCATGTGAAAGTCTAGAAAGCATCTCTCCAGAGATGACTTGTAAGCATTTTGGAAAGGAGCCCATGTGCCCACAGACACATGGATTCATTGAGAGTGAGGTCAGTCATCCTCATTCATACATGCCAGTATGTCGCGGGCTGAAGGACAAGCTCCCCCTGTTAAAATGTAGGTAGACATACAAGTATGTGAAGGGTTTTATACATTTCACAGTCTCATGCAGCAAACAAGTTGCTGTTGATGATTCCTTCATGACAGTTGAGGACCCCAGGCCATGAATAGTTAATTCTCCACAAGTCTGTTCTCTTGGAAAGAGTAAATGATAAACTAGATGAAGTTTCAGCAGAGTGATTCACAACTAGTTGGATTAACCCACGCATTGTTGGCACATGGATTTCCATTGCCCTGGAGAGAATTTTCTAGCAATCTCCACAGGGTTCACCTAGTCCAGCTGAATATTTTAATTAATGAGTAGAGAGTGACAAGGCATACTTAACAAAGATAAGATATAGGCCCTAATATGAAGGGAAAGATGGGTGTTAACAGTGGGCCCTAAAGTTAAGATGGCCCGGAGAATGTCTAGAGGATAAGCATAAATGCAGAAGCCTGAGGTCTTCCCACCTGAGGAATCACCTGTCTAAATACACGGCTGGGAAATGAGGCATACTAACAATAAACACTAAATGAGTAACTGTTCAATGTAATCATTACTAGAATACATTGTAGTACTATGTCAGGCACTGAGTAGTGAAGTTTAACAGTCTTTTTATCAGGTCACAGGGCATGGGATGGTTTAGGATTCTAGTTTCTAAATATTGATAAACAACTATAAAAATAAATTATTTTTTTTCTAGGATTTACTTACAAGACATAAATTGCTCAGTGCAGAATTTTTGGAACAGCATTATGATAGAGTAAGTATATGAAACAATACTTTTAAATAACAGATTGTAACTATTCACACCAGAAATGAAAGTCGTAACATAGATTTTGTACAGAATATTGATCCTGACTGAAAGTTTGTAGGTGGTACTCTAACCACTTGCCTACAGAAACTCTGTAGTGTGAGTTGGTCAGAAGCAGAATTTGATCTTTTTGATTGACACTGTCCTTTACCTCTTGTCTTACTTTAGAAGAGGAAAGTGGGCATTTTGCTGCTGAATGATAATACAGTTAAGATAAAATAACTATTATCTGACTTTTTAACTTTTCCTTCCTTTTCCATCAGTTGCTGCATTCAAATAGAGAGAAAGGGAAGCAGCAACAGCTAGGATGCAAGCGCGGGCCTGGGGGGAGGACCGGGCTCTGCTCCTGATAGAATGTGAGCGCGGGCCTGGGGGGCAGGACCCGCCCCAGCTCTGCTCCTGCGGCACTGCTAACTCCTTTGTGGCCACTACTGGGGACTTAGAAGTCCTCCCCTATTTGTAAAATGAGGACATTGGACTAGCCCATCGGTAAGGTCCCTTTGAGCTCTGAGTCAATGTCAGATGTAATGGTGACCCTTAGAGACCCCAGAGAATGACTGAGTGCTCTGGTGCCTGGTGAGCCACCCTCCTGGGCTGCAGTGTCTCGGCTGGGTTCTCTTTCCACACTCCCACTCTGCTTTCCTCCCTTGCGAGGCTTCCTTCAGTACCCACAGCGCTCACAGTACTTTTTCATCTGAGTCTAGGATCCAGTAGCTGCTCTTAGAGACATGAGAACAGTAACACTCTGCTCAAATTCCTAAATAGCCCACCAGATAGGGCTTAAGCTTTACTCTTCCACTCACCTACTACTACCAGTAGTTTGAAATCTTAAGTGCTGTTAATATTTCATTGTTTGCTTTCCTGTTCAACTAAATTGTAAGATTCTTGGAGGCACACATCTCTGCTTTGTTCTTGTGTGTTCTTCCTCCTGGTCTGTTCTGGATTCTGCTTTCAGCAGCATCGTAACACATTGCTGAGTACGTACACACTGGATCCTCATGGTCAGTGCTGAGTGCATACTATACCCTCATAGACTGACAGTGCTGAGTGCACACTATATCCTCATAGACAGGACTGAGTGCACACTACCCTTCAGTCAGTGCTGAGTGCACACTACATCCTCAGACGGTCAATACCGAGTGCACACTACATCCTCATAGACAGAGATGAATGCACACTGCATCCTCAGTCAGGGATGAGTGTATACTGCATTGTCAGACAGGGCTGAGTGCACACTACATCCTCAGACTGTCAGTGCTGAGTGCACACTACATCCTCATAGACAGGACTGAGTGCACACTACATCCTCAGTGCTGAGTGAACACTATGTCCTCATAGACTGTCAGTGCTGAGTGTGCACTAGGTCCTCATAGACAGTGCTGAGTGTTGCACTACGTCCTCATGGACCGTCAGTGCTGAGTGCATACTACATCCTCATAGATAGTGCTGAGTGTGCACTAGGTCCTCAAAGATAGTCAGTGCTGAGTTAACAGCTGCCTTCTTCAAAGAAGCCATTAGATAATAGAGGGGAGGGATGGGGTGGTGGGGGTGAGTGGTAAAGCCTATGAGATGGAGCTGAATGTAGCGAGGCTTAGTTATTGCCATGTGGTCTCAAAACATTTTTTAACACACTGGTATGTCTTCATTTAACACCTACCAAAGATATAGGCTAGCTAGCTCTTTTCTAAGTTTACTATAGGCAGTGAAATCAGTTGAATGTTGCAGTAAAAATAGTTTCCTACATATTAGGATGAAATGAGTTCTTTAGAAAAATACATATAATGCACTCAGAGCTGAGGGAAAAGGAAAGGGGGAATGTGTAAAAACAAAGACCAAAAGTGCTTGCTCTAGCATCCTGAGTTTTCCAATAAACTACAAAGGGAAAGCCAGATGCCAATGGCTCACGCCTGTAATCCTAACTACTTAAGAGGCTGAGATCTGCAGATACCGGATTGAAGCCAGCTTAAGCATGAAAGTCAGTAAGAGTTTGTCTCCAGCTAACCACCAAAAAGCCAGAACATGGAGCTCAAGTGGTGGAGAGTACTAGCTTCAAGTAAAAAAGTGCAAGGCCCTGAGTTCAAGCTCTAGTACCAGCACACTGGATGGATGGATGGATGGATGGATGGATGGATGGATGGATGGATGGATGGATGGATGGATGGATGGATGGATATAATTAAAAGATGAAAAGATTTGTAAATTAAAATATATACTGTTGCTCAGAAGTAGTGTAGTATTTTTAGCACAGGGACCTGAACCATGCTTCTCCTGTTGACACTTTAGGAGGAGTCAGACTACAACCATCTTGAGGGTGGCTGAGAAGGGCCCCGATTGCGGAGAGGATGCCCTGCTCTGTTACCTGCCCTCTGTCCTTGCACAGAGCACGCCTGGCCTAGCTGGGGCAAAACATGACCAAACACATTCTCTTAAGCAGTTCCTTGTGAAAATCATTTCTTGGAGCAAGTTTATCCTAAAAAATTACAGAAAACCCAAGTTTCTGTTGAGAATTTTAAGTACATGTTGTATGTTACTGATTAAAGGCAGGTCCAGCGGCTTTGATCATCAGCTTGATGATTACTTAAAGAGAAAGGAGGGTCAATAGCCCTTTCTGAAAAAAGCAGTTCTAACTTGTTAGATGGCCAGCCCCAGCTCCGCCTTTAAAGTAAGTAAAAGAAGTAGGCAGACAGTAAAATTCTTTTTTTTTT